TTGTTCTAAGTAGGTACCTTAGACCACTGAGCCATCTCACCAGCCCAAAAGTGCTTTTTTTTTTTTTTCGGAACCAGGGATTGAACTCAGGCCCTTGTGCTTGCCAGGCAAGCACTTATTCTACTGAGCTATCTCCCCAGCCCCGACTTCTTGAGACCCTATCTCAAAAGAAAAAAAATTTTTTTTTCTAAACTTAAAAAAAAGATGGAGATGTATGAAGGTCTTGGAATTCAATCTAAGAGGATGGGGTGGGGGATGGCGGCACGGCTGCAGGCAGGGCTCTTTCTAGGAGACGTGCAGTTGTTTTTCATTACCCTTGGTATTCTTCCTGAACCTATTTTTTTTTTTTTTTTTTTTTGGCGGTACTGGGGATTGAACTCATGACCTTGAACTTGCCAGGCAAGCCCTTATTCTACTGAGCTATCTCCCCAGCCCCTGAACCTATTTCTTCACTGATTCAGGCTTTTTACCATGTCAAAACATAACACAAATGAAAAGCCACATATATCTTTCAGGGATCAAATGTTAGCAACAATAGGTACAGCTGGATGTAGTGGCACACCTGTAATCTCAGTACTTGGGAGGCTGAGGCACTACAAGATTAAGGCTACTTTAGACTAAATAGTGAGCTCAAGGCCAGCTTAAACTACAGGGCAAGACCCTGTCTGAGGGCCGGGGAGATAGCGCAGTAGAATAAGCGCTTGCCTGTCAAGCGCAGGGTCCTGAGTTCAATCCCCAGTACCACAAAAAAACCCAAAAAACCAAAAAACCAAACCCTGTCTTAATAATAGTAATGGTGGCCAGGGATATTGCTCAGTGGCACAGAGCCTGCCTGGCAAGCCACAAGGTCCTCAGTTCAATTCCCAGTACAAAAAAACAAAACGGGGCCGGGGAGATGGCTCAGTGGAATAAGCGCTTCCCTGGCAAGCACAAGGGCCTGAGTTCAATCCCCAGATCCGGAAAAAAAAAAAAAAAAAAAAAGGTTTTTTTTTTTTTTTTTTTTTGGCAGAACCGGGGATTGAACTCAGACATTTTTGCTTGCCAGGCAAGCGCTTATTCCACTGAGCCATCTCCCTGGCCTGGTCCTCATTTATTAAATATGTACTATATGCTAAGGGCTATGCAAATTTACCCATTTTGCTTTATTTCTATGAGAAACTAAGACTTAGAGCAATGGAACAGCTTTCTCAAGGTCATGTAGCCAGTGGAATTTAGGCTGACTTCAAAGGTCTTGCTATTAAGCATTTAAGTTATACCCTGAAAAAGGAATAAAATTTTAAGTTCAAACTTAATATATTATCCTGTTTGAGACTCACGACTTTATGAGGAAGGCAATGATAGCAGCTGAGGAAACAGGCTTAAGATTAAGAGAGGCTGAGAAACTCACCCACTGTCACACAGCTAGAAAATGGTAAGCTGAAACTGAGCGGGGCAGACCTAGTCCATTCAAGTGCTTAATCATAGCACTACTCAATCTCCCCAAGGGGAAAGAAATGAATGAACTAGAGTGAGAGGTACACTTCTTGTCCTTTTGAAATGAACTCAAGTGCTGATGTTGGACCAGTGGGGAAAGAGACAGAAGAGGCAGAGTAGAGAATTCTCACCCCTCTTCTAGTGCACACGGGGGACAGGAAGGATGGAGGGAGGTGAGATGTCTTTAGTACAGGTTTGGACCTTGAAGGGTGAAGCAAATCACTCAATGACACTTATAAAATGTTTATAAGAAGATATACACGTGATACTCTTTACACTCCTAGGTGTGGGTTGAAAAAAGGAGGCTGAGAATAAAATTAATGAGCTCTTTGTTTTACTTTCTCAGCAGTGAGAAATAAATTCACTGGAGGAAGATCACATATCACTTTGGAGAATAACTTAGTCCCATACCCTTCATATGATGAAGGGTCTCCCACCAGTGGGGAAGGCTGTCCCAGGTAGACTGGACACAGCATCAGGAGGCCAACCATTAAGTGAAAGTTTCAAGGTGGTCTCCTCTTCTCTTTTGTGGAAATTCTCATAAGAACTAATCTGCCAAGTTCTCTGTTTTGCTTTGACCACTGCTTACCATTGGTACCCAAGAACCTCACCACACTCTCTTTGCCACCCATCCTTCCCACTGCTTGGTTGCCTTGAGATTTTTATCTTCCCCAACCCACTATTCCTCCCCAACACTCTCTTCCTTCTCACCTGGATATTTCTTTTGATGATGTCCCTGGTCAGCTGGACCTTGCCTGTACTGGGGTCTACCCCAGCCAATGGCACCATGACTTCCCCGATGACGTCATCTCGAGAGAAGCGATCAAAGCTGAGGACAAGGAAGTGTAGCACCAGGTCCTGCAGCTGGCTGTATGGGATGCCATAGAAGGTGAAGGTCTCATCAAACACAGGGTCCAGGGTCTTCCGCAGTACTCTGGTCTTCACCCGATGCCGCTTGTCAGGTAGGATGGTCATTTTGATGTAGGGGTCAGAGCCCTGGGTCTGGTCATCCATCACTGGCAGCCCATGGGCCTCCTGGATTGTCACCACCAGAGCTTTTTTTGGGAAATTATAGTCCACTGAGAAGGTGAGGGATCCCAACATGACATCTTCCTCTGGAGATGATGGAGAGGTGGTTTTGCTTTCCCCTGGGGTCAGGCTCGTAATGGGGCTCCTCAGTTCTTCCCCATAGTCCATTTTGATGGGTAACTGGTCTATACAAGATCCAGAACTGGGCCCCCTGGAACCCTTGTCTCGGCTTAGCAGACCAGCCTCTGCTGCATCCACCAAGAGGTTTCCACGTCCACCTTCCCTCCCAGAGCCATCTTTGTCTCTCCGCACTTTGATGATTTTCTTCTTGTTGCTGAGGGTCTCTGGGTATATGCTGATGCCTTTAAGCATGTGAATAAACTTGTATGGCGGGGTCTTGTGCTTCTTCTCTGCCTGCTGGTGGCAGCATGTCCAGACAAAGACAGTCACCGAAACACATACCACCAGCACAGAGGCCCCGATGAGACCAGCCACCACGGGGGACACATCTGAAGGCAGAGACCAGACATGTATCAAGGCAGTGGCTTCAACTCCTGTCCAGAGCAGCCCTGCTCAGTGCCTGTGCTGGAGCCAGGTAGGTCTGCAACCTGCCCTCCAGAGCAGAGCGCATTCCTCTGGGTTTTAGAGTTTCCTCGCTCTTAGGGATTGATGCTCTTACCACTCTCTCCATCCAACTCACACCCCCTTTCTGCCAGACCTACATGACGCATTTGCTTTCTTCACCAGCTCTTCTCTGATTGTCCCAGGTTCCCTATTCTTTCTTGACCTTCTCTCAGCCCTTCTAGACTTAGGTGGTGCATACTGATTTGTGCTTCTCATAAAGCTTCTCTGTAATATTCTAAGGTCACTTGTTCCATGGGACCTGCTTACTCTGTGGGCATCAGCTATGTCTGGTTTCCAGAGGAAACATCCAGCACCAAGCCTGTTAATAATGGGCCTGACTTACCGGATGGTGAAAGAATATGGAATTGCATTTAGATGGTCTTGGTAGGGTGCCCAACGGTGATTAGCAGTGTATGGGTGATTAAAAGAAAAACTCTAGGTCTGTATACTTTTTAAATATGTTCTAAAATTTTAGTTTCCAATTATTTAAAACATAAGTATTTCAAATAGGAAGAAATGGGACTGTGAAAAATGCCAGAACTTTGCTCAAATGTCACCTTCTTCTAGTAGATCTGTCTGTCTGTCCATCTGACTACTACCTACTTACCGACCTGCCTATCTATCCTGGTGCTAAGGATCCAACCCAACACCTCATACTCTATCGCTAAGCTACATCCATTATTAGATTGATTTATTTATTTGTTCGTTTATTTATTTTTGCGGTACTGGGGATAACACTTAGGACCTAGCACTACTGAGCTACCTCCCTGGCCATTATTTGAAAGTGCAACCTTTTCCACCCACTCTTCTAAGCTCTGTTTAATTTTTCTTCATATGCTTTGCCATTATCTTTCATGCACACATGTATAAAATATAACACACATATATGTGAGAATAAATATACATACTACCCATAATTTTTTTTTTTTTTTGGTGGTACTAGGGATCAAACTCAGGGCCTTGTGCTTGCCAGGCAAGCACTTATTCCACTGAGCTATCTCCCCAGCCCTACCCATAATTTTTTGACTTAGGGTTTGTCTTCCCTAGAATGTAATCCTTATAAGGAGAAGGATGCTTGTTTTGTTCATTGCTCTATTTGCAGTCCTTAAAACACATAGCAGCCACTTAATATACATTTGGTGGATGAAAAAGTAACTAAAGAGAAACAAATCTTTTTCTCTTCCTAAATATTTAGGCTGTTTCTTTTACTTCTAGACAAATTCTTTGGGCTGGTGAGGTGGCTCAGTGGTCTAAAGCACCTACTTAGAACAAGCGAAGCACAGGGACCACGGTTCAATCCCCAGCACCACATGCCAGCCAGCCCCGCCCCCTGGTGGGCTGAGCTGGACACACACACACACAATAAATAAATAAATGTTAAAAAAAAAAAATTAAAAAAAAATAAAAAAATAAAAAAATAAATAAACAAATTCTTTGAAGCCAAATTGGCTTTGGGCCTTAAAGGTCAAGAAAAGGGTTATAGTTTTCACCTTATTTTTTAGGACAAGACTGGGAAAGTATAGAGGACTAGGAAAACGAATGTAATTCTAGCATATTCCAGATTCTTCCTAGAACATTTTACTATCAGGCAGTTGCATTTACTGCAGGCCTCACTTATTGTAGACCTTTTCCCAAAGCTCACCTTATCAGAGAAGTATTTCCTGTCTGCCCCAATTGAAATATCTCTACTGTCCTCTTTTAGCTTTCTTCATAATGCTTATTACCTTGACATATTAATCTGTTTATCTGTCTTCCTCATTAGGTAAAATCTGTAACAATAGTGATGCTGTTTGTTTAATGTCTTGCTAGGTCCTAGAAACATGTGAGGCATAGTAAGTGCTCAGTGAACAACTGAGACAGTAAATTCAAAATTCTTGGGTTGGGAGATAGCTCAGCGATCTAAGCACCTGCCTGGAAATCTCAAGGAAATGGGTTTGATCCCCCGTACAGCATGCTGGGCTGGCCCTGCACTGAGTCAGTCACTGAACCCGGGTGTGGTGGTGTACACCTGTAATCCCAGGGCTGGGGATGCTGAGACAGGAGGATCACTACAAGCCCAAGTTGTATAGCGAGACCCTGTACCAAATAAATAAATAAATAAGGTTTTTGTTTTTAAACTCTCCACAGGCTATGAGTGGTGGAATACACCTATAATTTTAGCACTCTAGGAGGCTGAGGCAGGAAGACCACAGTGAGTTCCAGGCCAGCCTATGCTGTACAGAATTCAAAGCCAACCTGAACTGTATAGTGACATTCTGGCCAGGGAGATGGCTCAGTAGTATATAGCGACATTCTGTCTCAAAAAACCCTCCACAACCCCCCAAACACAACTTTCAGATTAGAAAAAAGGATGAGTGTTCAATATGATTACAAATATCAGTGTAAGAGTAATTTCTATTTGGATTTAAAAACTTATCTATAGGCGATAATCTTAATTGGTAAGTTTGAGCAAACATATCTTACTAATTTAGGTGACTACAAGCTTGGACTAAAATTAGATTAATACTAGTTTATGGTATAAGCATGATTTTCATATCTCACAAGGGGTAAACATAGTTTCCTTTGTACTGATCATGACATATATAGATCATTCTGTACAACACTAACAATAATAAAACTGCTATTTTTGTGTGCATTTAATAATTTGTCCCTGCCAAGCACTATGCCATACCTTTTTTATGTCTCAATTAAAGAACTCACTGAATAGGACCATTAATACCTCTAGCTACATAGTAGCAAATGGCAGTAACGGGACATAAATTCTGGTTTGCTGGATAAAAGAGTCCATACTCTACATTATGGGTAATCACAAAAGTAAAAAATCCGATAACCATATCAAATGAAAAACTGAAGAAGCTGAAAGGTGCCTAGGAATAATAATCATCTTTAATAATAATTATTTTAGGCATCTCTATGAAGAGCGATTTGATGTTACTCTGGAACACAGGATATACTACAATGTGCCCAGGTTACAGGAAGACAGGGTTTTGACTCACTGAGTCAAATTATTACTAGAACTGCCTTGCAGTAGTCCAGATGGCTTTGTAAATTGGTAATTCTCCAGCACAAGATTTTAGTGTGTGTTCTACTAAACACAACACAGGACAAGATTTTCAAGTGGAGAAATTGGATTGTGATTATCAGGCATGTTCTTTCGTTCTTTTTTTTTTTTTTTTGGACAGCTCAACACACCTTGAGGGCAGGGCTGGCACGCCATGTAGTGCCGGGGATTGAACCTCGGTCCCCTGCGTTTGCCTAAGCATGTGCTTTAGATCACTGAGCTATCTCACCAGGCCCTGATCAAGCATGTTCTAAAAGGGATTTTTTCCCCCCAAAGGGGACTAGAGTAGCTGTCATTGAAATTCTATCTTTATGATTCTCTGAAATCTGGGAACTAACAAAGATCAGCGTTACATTTTAAAACAATATAGGAGGGGCTGGTGAGGTGGCTCAGTGGTCTAAAGCACCTACCTGGAACAAGCTTAGCAAAGCACAGGGACCGCGGTTCAATCCCCCAGCACCACATGTCAGCCAGCCCCGCCCCTTGGTGGGCTGAGCTGGCCACACATACATACACGTAAATAAATAAATTTAAAAAAATAAAAAATAAATAAAACAATATCAAAGGAGTAAAGCCACTAGTAACAAAATAAATCAAAGTGACTATGTCTCACGGTAGTAAATGAAATAAATGCTTTTTTTTTTTTTGCGGAACTAGGGACTGAACTCAGGCCCTTGCACTTGCCATGTAAGCACTTATTCTCCTGAGCTATCTCCCTGGCCCAAAATAAATGCTTTTAGGAAGAGGTTTTTAAAAATGGGACACAAGACTTAGTGGTAAGTTCCTTGAGGCTAGGCACAAACAACATTCTGTATATCTTTTGAGTCCCTTAGTCGCTTACACCTAATAGTCATTTGTTTGAATAACTGGATTCAATTATTGATTAGAATGGCCATTGTCTGAAGAAATGGCTCTGCCCTACTTTCTTAATGTTAAGGGGTTTTTTGTATTGGGAATTGAACTCAGGATCTTGTGATTGCTAGGCAGGCACATGTGCTGCTGAGCTATACCCCCAGCAATGTTAAGTATTTATCTTTTGCTTGTGTTCTCAATATCCAAGGCAGTGAACTAGAAGAATCAGAGATATTTAAACTCAAAGCCCTCTGTCCTGCTTTCACCAAGTTTGGTGGGAAAAGGAAGCTGGGGTGCTTAATGGCTGAAGTGTGTGTTCCAAAGCAGCTGTAAATTGAAGTGACTTGGGCTGCTCACTCTTCTTGTATTTCATGGTCATAGAAAAATGATGTGTCAAAAAGAGAAAGAAAAAATGATGTGTCGTGCTGGTATATCCAGTAAGCGCTAGAACACTTGAAATGAAGTAATACAACATGGAAAAATCAGAGGCAACAGTTCTCTGTGGAGGAGATCCTCTGTACGGGTCCAGAGATCCCCAAGACGTTTCTTGGCTATGTCCAGCTCTTTCAGCTTCTGATCAGAATGAACACTGATTCCTTCCTTTCCTAAACATACCCTTCCACTGTCAATAGGCCAGTGTAATACAGTGGACCAAGATGAACTTGGCTTTAACCAGACATAGGTTCAAATCCTAGGGCTACCCTTAGTTCATTTGGCTTTGGCCAACTTATTTTATCTCCTTTGGCTTCAGTTTCCTCATCTGATGAATAGATGTAATTATACCTACACTAGGAGGTATTTGTTAGGATTCAATACAATGTGAATAAGAGGATAACTTTTTTCCACTAATATTTTCTTTTAAAAAAATCACTATATTATGTTTTATGTAACCTACTTTCCCAAGGACTTGGGAACTATAATTAGAGAATGGAATCTGTTGGAAAAAAGCCATAAGAAAGATCAATAAGAGAATCATGGCTTGCTCCTGTGATCACAAAAGAGATTTCAACTTTGGAAACTTAGAACTCAAAAAATAGAGATGCAGTAGTTGAAAGGAAGAAAGACAACCAAGAATTAGCTGTGGGGAATAAGTGGGAACAAAGTTAATGGATGTGAAGATTTGTTGTTTGGATTTGTTTCCCTGATAAGATATCTACTCTCTTATAGGGAGAGCACACTGGCCTTGCTTATTTCAATGTATCTCTTACAGGGGAGGTAAAAAAAAAATACGATTTTCTCACCCTAAATACTGGAATCTAACACTCAAACCTTCTGGGTTGTCTGAGGGGCTGAATCTCTTAAGAAACATGAAGGTTCTTAGGCTGGCAGCAACTCTCACTCACTTCCCCCAACCTGAATTATAGTAGCCAAGAGGCCAATTTAACTTAATTAATTTATTGGACCTGTAAGCACAGTTTAAAAAGTTTGCTCTCTATAGTAGATTTTGGAGGAATTCTCAAAGAGGAAAAAAATCTTGCATCTCCAGCTTGTTTTTCTTACTTTCTTCTCTATTTTCTATTCCACTTTTTGCCCCAAGGAGGGTTAAAGCTGATCCCAGAGCTCCTAGGGTGGGTCGGGGAGCAGCCGCTCAGGGATGACGTAATGCTTTCTCTGGTACACAAAGCGGCCTCCCCCGGGCTGGCCTCCCCCGCCCCGCCCCCACCGCCCAGCACCAGCGCGGGTAAGTCCCCCTTTTTGAAAAGGCAGCCCCGGGAAACAGGGAACAAAGGCCCCGGAAGGAGAGCCTAGGCGCTGCCAGGAGGCCCAGAAATAGACATCACGTCATCCCCTAGCCCAGCAGCGCCAAGCGCCATTTGGTAGCATCCAACGGACCCCACCATTACGATGCAGAAGGGAGCCCGCAGGCCTCACGTTTCCTCTTAGTTCCAGCATCCAGCTGACCAGTTTAGGGAGTGGTTTCCCTTTCGCTCTCCACCCCCGCACCCCTCTCTCCCCAGAGGCCGCCGCCTCCCCTGGCCGCCAGCCACACAGCCCACAGTCTCGAAGCTGCCATCTTGGTGTCCCATCCCCCGTGCACCTCCCTCCCCCGCAGCCCTTTGCACGGGAGGGGGAGGAAAGGGCACCGCCCTGCGTGCCCTGAGGGGGAGGGCTCGACCTACCCCCCTCTCCTCCCCCAGAAGGAGGGGTTCCTGTCCTCCGCATGCTCGCCATTCCTCACCTCCAGCCGCGCTGACAGTGCACCGCACAAGGTTTAGCATCCTGGACTTCCCTGGCGTTGCCAGTCTCTGCAGCCCAAAGCTCAAGCGCAGGTGCTGTGCACTGCGTGCTACTCGCCACCATATCCGATTTTGCCAGGGTTGACACTCCGAAGGGTCCCCCCTCCCGGTTTTCACCTCTGCTCACTGCGGTGCCCTCTGCTTTGAAAAGGTCTGACCACGGCGAGCTCCGTTTGTCCCTCTACTTACCAAAGCTAGGTCGGATGTTGGTGATCTCAGCCATGTCGTAATCAGAAGCTGTTGCTATTAAACGCAACGGTCAGGTAACTCTGGGAACCCCACCTCCAGTACCGAGGCTGCAGCTGTAGATCTCTAGGTCTGGGTGGGGGAAGGTATCTGGCAGACGTCTCCTGCGACGGTCCAGTCCCTGGTTGCCAGCTGCGTTCTCCTCTTAAGATGCTCCAGGGACGCTCTGAGCTCAGGATGCAGGTGCAGTCAGACTGGTCCTGATGCGAGACAAGCTCCGCCTTTTTCCGAACGTCTTCGGCAAAAGACTCCGCCTCTGCCGAAAGGTTCCGGAAGGCAGGTCCTGCCCCTTTCCGGAAGCTATCAAGGCGGACACCTTCCGCCCCTAGCGGTCGCGAAAATGAGGGCCGCCCACTAACGGGTTGTGGGTCCTTGGGGCCAAGAGACAACTGTAGGTTAAAACATCACGTGAGCTTTTATAGATCTCCTGATTTCTTGGGGCGAAGAAACAACTGTAAGTCAGAACAGTACATGAGCTTTTATAAATCACGTGATTTCGGTTCCTCTGGTTTTTGTAAGAGCACAATGTTCTGTTTTCCAGGATTTTGGGGAAACAAAATTCTACACTGCCGATGTTATACATTTCTGAGGCCACTGAAGGTAGTTATGGAAATTTTCTTATATTTTAGAAGCTGAATAAAAACCAATCTCGGGAGTGGTTGCACAACTCTGAAAATTTACTAAAAATCATTTAAATGTATACGTATGACAAATGATATGAATCGAAGCGTTTTAAAAATAAAATATTAGCGAAGTGTGGTAGTATGTACCTAATAATCCCAGCACTTGAGAGGCTGAGACAGGAGGATTGCTGTGAGTTTGAAGCTATTCTGAACTACCTCGTGAGCTTAGGTGAAACTTGAACTACAAAACGAGACCCTGTCTCCAAAAAAAAAAAAGTAAAAAAAGATTAATGTTTTATTATTTTTTTCTGTATTTTAGGGAAGGGTCTACAGGGTGTTCAGGGTCCCACTACTAGATCGGACGCGAAGTGATTCGCCTGTTTACAGCCTCCTTACAGGCGTGCACCACCACATCCAGTCTCAATTGCTGTCCCAGAGCACCCTAAAAAAGACTAATAAAAAAAGCTAAAGTTAATAAATGTTGGACATTCCTCTTCCATGAGCTTCAAGTGCTTAAAGCTGTTTAGGAAAGGAGACAGGGAGCAAATCAAAAGATCTGTGTATTCCTTACATCAAAAGGAGAGCGCA